ATGAATAACACATTTAGATTTCCCCACACTCTTTGAAATATCCCCAATCGAGAGTTTACCTTCATTACATAACTTGACTATCAGTTTTCTAAGTTCCAATGACGTCATAGATTGTTTTGCCATGTTTACAACAATGCAAGAGCCAGTAAAGAGCCGGTGTAATTTAGTAAAATACCCGATTTTATATTTTTACCCTAAAAAAAATCAATAATGCAAAATAATTATTAAATTTTATGGATTTATTTAATCGTTCTGATGTTTTTGATCATCTAAAAAAAGTATTTAGACTTTTTCTTAACATCGTTCTGATCTTTATGCTCGCTACTATATATATATATATATATATATATATATATATTAAGAAATGGACAAGGTCCGACAATTTATTTATTAAAGACATTTTTTATGTTTAACGTTGTTATTTATAGATACAAGTATTTAAGCAAATGCTCTGTTTATGATAAACAGTATTAAATAACATTTACCGGCCTGAATGTCCGAGAAATTTTCATAGAAAATATTCGTTCTTTGACAGGATTCGAACCTGCATCCTATACGGAACCGTCATTTAGGCCACAAAGAACCTTTTCGGTAGACAAGGTCGAATTTACTGCTTATAAAAGGTTCTTTGTGGCCCAGAGGTAAGGCACGTCAACGTAAATGACGAAGAAGGAAACGGTTTCGCACGCCTCCTACCATTCTCCTCAGGTACGGTGAGTTGGCGGCTCGTAACAGTCTCGAAATTTTCGTGCTCTTCGGTCTCGCATACGCGTGCGATAGTGTGTCGCCCTCGTATTCTGTGGTGAAACGAATGGTATTTATAACACTGCTAGCCGTCGCAAGAATGGTGATTTGGACGACGCGAATGAAGTGAATCTTGCGATGCGAACGCTATTCTCATTAGGCTCTGGTCAGATTCTTTCGGCATCAGCTGAAGGTGAAGGTCAGAACTGATAGAAAGCGTTTGATGTACCAGCGAAAGGTAGGTAAAAGTAACGAGCTTGGTTCGTGTGAATGGGGCTAACCTTGTTTACAACGGGATGGTTTCCTGTTGAATTCTCCACTGGTTAAGAGACTCTCTTTGTGTACCTAGTTAATGTAAGTAAGTGCCGTTCCCGGCTTCTTTTTTTTTGTTATGATCTAAGTCGAGATTTCCAAACTCCCCAGTTTGTTTTTGGCCTCCTTTTTCATCTCGACTGGGCCATTCTTTGATTTTCCCACGCCCATATTTATTTTATCCTTCCCACTCCGTTAGCGAGTGGACTACTTGATTTTTTTGTATGAATGCAGAATACAGCGACCACTTATTTTTTGTGGGGTGGATGGGTCCTACTAACATCTGTTGTTTTCAGTTAGATATTTTGTTATATTTTAGTTTGTTTTTCATAACCTCCCCTTCATTTCATACCACCATTATTAGTATGTGAACATTTGTACAAAAAGAAATTTTTACGTCATGGGGTGTTTTTGTAGGTTCCCTACGAATATGGGGTATTGTAGTAATGAATGGTAAAGGATGACTTCTTGTGGTGAATGAATAATTGTAAAGAATCAGATTAGCTAGATAGTTAAATGATGACCAGCCTCACCCCGCTTCCCCTTTTTGGCCTTGTGCCGCAATTATTGTATATTACAATAATAAATCATGAGGGAACTCTAAAGACGGCGATAGTGGTGTGTAGTACAGTTGAGAAAACGGCGAAGACATAGGCAGAAGACACTTCACAAGGAAAAGACTTTAGAGTTGAAGTAGAATTTTAACAAGGAACAGGAAACCAGATTATAAACACAAAACAAGAGACAGACCTCTATTCCTGTTAAAAAACGAACATCGTAACATACCCAGAAACAAAGTACATTTGCACGACTAGCTAACCATCTTACGCAGCTAAACCCGTCATTGGTACATACCTTCCTTCACCATGTGGTCAAGCGGTGTCTACAACATTTGAATACATACATACAAACGTACTTCCTCCTGGACTCCTCATTTGCGCCAGGACTTTTACACGTGAACTCTTAAAAAAAACAACTTTCACCTTATCCTTCTGTATTAAAGATTTATTTTATCAATACTCTGTGCATTTCTTTTAGTTTTAAAAACCACACAAGTCCAAAAAATACACCCACATCAACTATGGAATTAAAACGGACGTTATCAGAAGATGACCAAGTGATAACCTCCTATCCTCCACAAATTTACCACCGCATATATTAAAGTTTTAAGGATTAACGTTTGATTATAATTCTCTTATTTTATTTTTCAAGATTTTTGGGTTAAGAACATTAATTAAGCTAGGCACGTGGAATGATATCACGGCGTAAGTGAATGCATATTTATTGTTTATACTTTCAAGATGCAACAGTCTTAAGGCTGCAATTTGTAAAAATGCATTTACTCTTGTAACTTGTTATATCTTCTGAAAGGTTTATGGCAGAAGGCTATATTCGTGGAGCACTCTGCGAATGAACGTATTTTACAATGTCATTGTCATGTGATTTCGAAAAGAGAACCAGACGATCATGCTCCTCAACAATGAGATGCTTTTTATGTAGTCAATTAGAAAATATAAAGCAGTAAATGAACAGGTTAAATAGGAGAGATGACAAAAGTTAAGAGCTATAAGGGGACAGGAAATTTTGGAGAGACATGTTCGCTTACACACAGAAGAGACACGGCACATAATTGAAGAATGACGATTTTGTTTTTGTTTGAGTAAACGCCAATGAAATATTGGGAAATTAAAGATCGCCGTATTTGCGCATTTATTAATAACTTTTATTTTTTATGAAGCATTCTACTTTCAGCAAAAAATAGTATTAAAAACATAACAAAATAAGAATGTTGTTTCTAAGCTATATATTAAAATAATTTGCCATTGTTGTTTTTATTACTGCGAAACTAATTAAGGCTACAAAAGCCAACCTTAAAGCTAAAAGCAGTATTTATGAAATTTGAATTTTGGTTGTCGTCGACTGTCATCATGTTTGTTATTTTGCTTCTTTTTCTAATCACACCCTGCTACAATTCTGAAATATTAAGTGATTGTATAAGTGACAGAAAATGTACGTCCAAAAAACAACTTCTTGTTAAGTGTTTCGTCTTTTGAAACATTTTGTAGAATTTTTTGTTCTTTTTAAAATTTGTTTGCACTTTTCATCCATGACGAATGATGACTTGTTTCTACCTTGTCAAAAAAACTTGAGAAAGTTTTTTGTTTAAATTTTCCTAATATCTTTTTTTTTTGTTAGTTTTAGTTACTAATTTCTTTTTTTCAGTGTAATAAATTATGTATTCTTTCTTCTCCGTCATTTGTTTTAACTTTCTTCAAACACACATACTTTTTTTTAAAAACTTTTCCTTAGCTTTTCTTTTTATTATTCATTAACAAAAAACATTTTTTTCTTTTTCATTTCGTTTTTAAATTTTTTCTTTTTTAGTTAAATAATTTTTTCTTGCTGCTCCTTTTCTTTTTTGCTTTCCGACATTTTTTTTTTACTTGTGTTTGTGTTTCAGTTCAGTAACGTTTTTCCAATGTTTATACTTTAAAAAGTTTATATTCTCGTTTTTTTTTTATGAATGTCGGCTGAAAATTCTAATGTCTCTAATGCCATTTCTAAAAAAAAGTTAGCAAAAGTTCCTTTTGTTTGTCGAACAATCTGGACCGCTTGCAAGTGAGTATTCAATGATTCTAAAAAAGAAATGCTTTTAAAAGTTTAAAATAAAGTTACCTAGTGTAACGCCTCGGAAATCAGAGAGCTATGTTCGAATTCCAATCGAGATCGTTACATTCACTTATGTGCAAAAAAAAAAAAAAAAAATACGTAGGAAAGGTATATGAATCCATCTTCCCCCACACTAGTTATGGGTTGAAATATAGCAGGACAGATTGGGTGTCATATCTTTGGTTGGCAACCTGTCTGACTGAGAAAGTTATCTTCTTTGCCCAACCAAACGAACAACAGATACTGGACCGTAAATAAATATAGTCACTTAGTCATTTCAGCATTTTATATAAGTTTAGTAATGAGCCACTTTGGTTTACATCATAAAACCCGCGACTATTCTCGTTGGTTACATTTCTTCAGTAATAATAGAATTTTATTTCGTGTTTGTACCATGTAAGCAATGATGAAGTTTTAAAGAAAATGGAAACAAAAAGGACACACCAGGAAGAGACAGTTGAAATTTCTAGGGTATGTATTGAAAGAGGGGTTCAAAAATTTGATACTCGCAGGACAGATTGAAGGCAAGAGAGACAGGAAAACAATACATAACCTACCTAGAGAGCTTAAATAAAAATGGATAGCAGAACAAGGTTTACGAGCGATAATAAAGAGACAAAATTTAGTAACTACACAGGACAGGAAATTATGGAAAGCCAAGATCGTCGATGTCTTTCATGAAGAGACATTATTTTTATTTATTTTTTTACCTAACTCATTTGAATTCTGATGTAGGTAGTAGAAACCATGGTAGTTTCTGGCGGCCCTTTTTAGAGCCATTTCTAAAAAACAAAAAACTTTTACACACAAATGAAACACTTTTTAAAACAGCCTAACTTTCCTTTAATACATTTCTTACAAAAAAGGCGTATAAGACAAACTCAGACTATATTTAACATTTATTTTTACTGACACTTTGACTTAACTTTTTAACTAAATTATTTTCTGCTACTAATAAACATTTGTATGTGTAGGATCTGAAAATTGGTTGGTTTTTTAAACCTAAAACTTAAGAGAATCATTTCAGTTGTAGCTTTAAACTGCAGCTATCGTTTTTTTTGTTTTTTTAAATAAAGGTAATTAGTGTTACGGTTATTTTTTCTTCTGTCCGTACATATTTTGATTTTATTGTCTTTTTTAATTTTTTATTTATAAAAATACCACAACTGTTACTTACCGACAGCCAACAAAATTTATAGCATATTTTTTTCTTTCTAAAGGTACAATTGTCAGCTTACAAAATAGTGACGTACATATAAAACTGGACAACAGTTTGATCAAAAGAGATCTGTGGACGTTCTGCTATCCTGGAGAAACAAGAGACCTCTATAAACTATGGTTATATCCAGTTGTAAGTATAAACAATTGTTATTCATAACATTATACCCATTGTATTTTTTTTTTCATATCCAAGTAAAAGTGATAACTTCATTTTCTTTTTTATTTTATTTTTAAGATTAAAAAAAAATATAAATATTTATGCTCATTTAAAAAATATTTCCAAACACCAACTAACTTCATTCAGGTATAGAAGTTGCCAAGATTTGATTTCTAATTTAGAATCAATACTATATTTTGTTTATATTATATTTTTATTTTATAACTTTTATATCAACTGTCGTATCAATTGGTTTGGTCTGGTTGAACGATTAATATAATTATTTTAATTTATTTTTACCTTGATTTTCTTATTCCCAGTTCTTTTGTTTATTTTGTAAGTGGTTAGATGATGCAAGGGAGACAACTCAGTTTTTATCTTTGTTTCCAATGGACTAAAAATTTCATGATTCATAAAGTTTGATAAATTTTAATAAAAGTAATACTCGATCGTTATCTGCCAAGTTTGATAATTTACATTTTGGCAAAGATGTATGAATTATATGGTAACTAGTGTCTATTCAGGAATAAAACTATATTAGTACCCTAATTTATTGATATTTTTTAAACATAAAAGATTTTTGTGTGCAATAAAATTATTGGGAATTGATATCTAAGTTATGCCATAGCAGTTATTGTAAACTTTGATGGGATATTTTCGAGATTTTTATAGTGTGATTAATAAGCAGAATCTATTTTAAAAGGTTGCTTTTCAGACTTTCTTATACGCATGTATTTAAATTTATATTAATGTATATTTTGGCAGCAACATTCCTTTCAAACATCTTTCATTGAATACAGCTGACAAGGAAGATTGAATTAATTTTTCAAGTTTTTCCAACATCCTAACATTTTTCCATTTTGTAGGAGTTAAGAAATATAAAAATCGTCCATAATCTTAGAATGCTGGAAAAACTTAATAAAAAAAATTAATTCAATCTTCCTTGTCAGCCATATGTTTAAATTTATATTTAAAAGATGTTAAATTTATATTTGTACTTTTATCTATTATAGATTTACAAGTACACTTATGCTCAAAATTATTCACACTTGTCGAATGTCTTCTAAATTTTTATTTTGAGGAAGTACTTTATTTTTCACTATTAATGTTATATTTTGGGTGGAAAATGATTATAAGAAGTTATGTAAGAGGTATTCAAGAAAATATTCTAATTTTATTTTAAGATAAAATTAATGCCATATCCAAAATTGATGATGTCCTTTCTTAGTAATCAAAGCCTTTATTTGCTATTACGTAGGTACCTCCATGAAATCACTAAAAAAAGAGCATAGCTTGATGAAAAAGACGCCAACCTTGCCGAAAACTAAATATTATTGTCTAAATGCTTATGTTATTATTAAGAGGAAAGACCAAAGTTTTTTTAATTATTTTTAAAAATTTTCCTTCTTTTTAGAACATTCTAAATTTTGATTAAAAAACCTTTTTCTATTTGTATCAGCGGAACTAGTAAATAACATAGACAATTTTTAGCACGTTTTTTTTGGTATGACACATTAATTTGAAAAATCGTGCAAAATAGAAATAATTATCGGATGTTAATGAAACTTTCAGGAACTATTCACAGATTATCGAAATTATTATAAATATATTTTTTTTTTATGAAAGTCATAGTAGAAATATTTTTTAAAATATTTATTACCCCCCATAACTAATTTTATGAAAACGCTAGAAATTGATCGCATAGGGTTTAGTGATTACAATAATTAAAAGCACAGGGCTTTGAGGAATGCAAATCATGTTTTTTTTTTTTGTTTTTAATTGATACGCAGTACCTGAAAATCAGCTCTGAATTGTAACATACAAAACTCAATAAAACAAAGATATTATTTAATTTCAAATGCTTTTATTTGCTTTTCGTTGTTTTTATGAATATGGACAATATTTTCTGAAAGCAAAAAATTTTTTTCGATGAAAATGAATTTTTAATACAATTATTTGTTATTTCATTAATTATAATAGATTTTACATTTAAGTTGTTAAAATATTATAAAATTAGTTAAAAGTCAGATATCGGCTTTCATAAGTGTCCTTATGAGATAGATCTTTTTTTTAGCGGCGTTGTAAATTGTATCATTTTGACTAATCAGAAGATCCCCAGTAATTAAGAAATGTAATTTTGTGCTTATAATCGAGCTGTAATTATAAAATACGGAAGACCAACCAGAATATAATTAAGTTGCGTTATTTGAGTTAAGCATTGTTCTCCGCTGTTAAGGCCTTTTACTTTTTGCGAAACACGTGTGGAGAAGTTAATTTGATTTTTCAATTTCAACTGAGAAGGGTACCTACAAGTATCAGTATCATCTTATGAAATTTATATGATCTTATTTTTTATATTAATCTCAGTTACGACATTTTTCCATAAATGAAATATCAAAATTAATAATAAAATGAATGCAAATAACAGTAGAATGTAATAAATGTACATACAATTATAGTATTTTATGTACAATTCTGATAAAATCTCATAAGAAAGGTACCTATAAATTAATTAGATACCTTTCTTAAGAAATATGAAATTTAATGTCACTCTTAACAGTTTAATTTTAATTTCTTTACAATATATTTCCCATAAAGCATCATAAGCGTAAAGTTGAAAGCTAACTACAAAAAAAAAAAAAAATTAGACCGCTGAAAGTTTTCATTACAAATAACGGGGTAAATAATTTGTTCACGTAAATGTAAATTATTTCACTTTTCTCCTTCGTAGAACAAATTAGCCTCATGGAATTCGTAAATATATCATTCATCACATGTCAAGAGACGCGAAAGTTTATGACCTGCTTTGTTTTATTTTCAAATTACATCTTTTTGGCACAAAAGCTAAGCTAAGTTAAGTTTGGTTCAAAATATTTTAAATAAACATTATAATTTCTGATTTTCTTAAAATAAGTTTTGAAAAAATGATAATTGATATTTAAAAAAATTTCAAAGTCAGATTTCCAGTTTTTTTAAAATGGAAAAAAAAATGGTCAATTTTGCTGACTCAAAAAACTACATTTTTAACGAAAATTTTGGACGTGCTAGGAACGATTAAAAAATGGAAAAAAATACCCCAAAAATACTTTGACCTTTCCTCTTAATAATAACAAACTTTTAGACGATAAAATTTTGTTTTCGTCAAGTTTGGCGTCTTTTTCATCATGCTATGCTCTTTTTTTAGCGATCTCGTGGAGGTACCTACTATTACAGCATCCAAATGTTTCTTGCAATTGTTTATTAGTTTTTGGTATCTCTTCACTGAATTTTTCAACCATTCTTATTTTGCAAAGGTTATTTGATGTTAGAAGGCTTTCTTGTCATTACTCTTATCTTGAGCTTCTTTCAGAGATTCTTGATAGTATTCATTTCTTTCTCCAAATATTGTGTGTCCAAAAAGCCCACAGAATTGAGAACCAAAAGTCTTCATCTTTTTGCAGTTAAGGCTTTGTGATTTTTAGTGAGTGGAGTGTAGTCCTTCTTGAACTGCAAGCATGTTGACTGCATTTGTGCAATGTCTGCCTTGATATACAGAAAATTCTTGAGATTGTCCAAGATCACTATGATCTTTCTGTGACACTTTCTTACCAATCAAGAGGATAATATTAGTTTATGGCTACATCCTTTAAAAAAATTTTTTGTCTTGAACTTCTTATATTTTTTGATTAGGTTCCACATCCTGGGCACTAGCACTTGAAATTGCTTTGAGAAGGTTTTGTAGCCTTGTGAGAAGTCAATGTGTAAAATATTCACCAGGATCTTTGGCATTATTCATGCTATACTGATCAGTCTGCAATAGCAATGATTACGTCAGCTCTCATTCATTTATAGGTGAGAATAATGTTCTAGAACATGTTAAAAATTACCAACACTCTTTGGAACCTTCATGGAGAATATAGAATTCTCCATGAAGCTGCTAGAAATACTTGAAATTTTAAGTTTGTGTATTTTTCAACATGTTTTTCATTAATCTGTTAATAAAAAAATCACATAAAAAATATATTTCTTGAATAATTCTTTCATTATTTTCTGTATTTCTTGAATACTTTCTTCCATTAATTATGCCACTTTGTGTCATTGCCAATGGAAACAAATTAATTCCTCAAAATAAAAATGTTAAATACTATAGATTTTGGCATTTATAGATATAATTTTGAGTGTAAATATATGTAAATTTGCTGATTTCAATAGTCACTTGATATGAAAGTCTTTCTTAAGGCTTAGGAAACTTGACCAAAATCAAATAAATCATATGAATGTTTACTTAATATTCAGTTCTCTTTATTCATCACAAAACTCAATTAGAAAATAGAAATACTGTTTTAGTAAGGGTTACCTCTCTTGTTTATTTGTTGGGTGATTTTTTTTCTTTTAATATCCCATTGGATGGTTATCATGTAATTGTAAGGTGACTGGTTCTGTCTGCTATTGTATTTTATACTTATAGTAATATATCTTGTGAAAGGAAACAATTTTTCATCACTGGGTTTTGTTCTGTTGAGATGGTTTTGTTTTATTTATTGCAATTAGAAAATCTCTACACTTAAAATCAGAAAAAAAATTGACATTTCTAGGACGCATTTAGGAAAGAGGGCTTGAAGAATTTGTCACTCACAGGACATATTGAAGACAAGAGGGGCAGAGGGAAACTGTGAGTAACCTATTTAACAAGCTTTTATAAAGGGATGGCAGAACAGGGAGTGGGAGATGATGAAAAGAAAAAGCTATAAAAGATAGGAAATTATGGAGAGCCATAATCACCAAGGTCCTGATGGGACATGGTACATGTCATAAAATATCATTTACAATATAATCATCATTATTATTCATGTCTATATCTATCTTATAGATATTTAGAACTTCAAGTAAATTTCATATTAATCATGCAATTTCTGTGTTTTTCAAATTACCTTTTCAAAAATTAGGTTATTTTAGGAAAAATGAACAAATTAATATTACAGGATTTGAGCTGTAAGTTTGACAGATAAATAAGTATTAAAACTATAATAGTGTATTAAATTTAATATTTTTTTTAATTTGGATTTACCACATAATGTAGTGTTTAGTAAGCTTGTCTCATAGATAGCTTCTACTGACTAACAAGTTTAATCTTCAGTATGTGCCCAATATTTGTCAATAAATAAATATATACTTTGTTCAATTCTTATTGAGAATCTATCTCTAAATCTACATAACTATCTACATATCTCTCTATGTATATCCATATCTTTATCCTTCCTTCCTGATGATAGAGCCACATATAGTATAAGATTACATTTTTAAGATCACTTTAAAAATATAATCTTATATACATACATTAGAATTAACTGTGTATTCTAAAGAAAATATAGATTTGTGTAAATTCACTAATTTATTAAGATTGTATTTTTTTTTTTGTCTTTTTTTATAAATTTCTTAAAAATCTGTTTTACAGCTTAGATTACATATCAGCAATGATGACTACACACTGAGCTTTGGTTCTAATGCCAGAGAAGTTGCCAAAAGCAGTTCACAGTTTACAATAAATCTTCTACGAACAAAACTTTTCCAAAGTAAAGAAATCTCTCTGACACCTTTTAATGTAACTTGTGTTGGAATCACAACTCAGTCTGAGTTCACAGTTCAATTGAAAGTGAAATGTAAGTATTATTTATTTATCTACACAACATCCAATCACAATGTTGATAATAACAATAATCTTTTTATAATTACTGCTTTGTTTTTAATGGAGAAAAATAGATGAATAACCTATTTTAATCCTTTATAATAGATTAAAGAGTAAAAAATAATTTATTGCATACAATAAATATTTTTCAATATCATCTTTTCCTTTGTCAATGCACTTTACTCAGTGCCTTTTCTATTAATCATATACAGGGTGCGATGTATAAATTATCGCCATTTTATATTTTTAATTTTGCGCATACACGTTGTTTGTTTCAGATTTTGTTAACTGCACAGTATATTAAGGTCAGTTGGGCATCATCTGTGAGAAAAAGAGCCCCATGACACAATTCCCTCTGCCAGCAACAGCATGCTATACTGCATGGCATTTGTGCTGGAAGCTCCAATACAAACATTTCAGAGCATTTGGGTGTCAATCTGAGGACAGTGCAGAGGATTCAGAAAGAGTTGGATGAGTCTAATACTGATTATGAAGGTGTTTGGAGTGATAGTGATGTTATGCCTCCATTCATCTCCCCACATGGGCAACAGACTCAATACTGAGGCCTACATCAAGTGCCTTGAGAAGGTAGTGCTGTCTTGGGACAAGAGGATGGCTGCTGGAAGAGAACTCTGCACCATGCCACACTATTAAGAGAACCCAGTCATGATGGTCAGACAATTTCTGCGACCACATTGCTCCTTACATCTGGCAACATAACTCCCCAGACAGAAACACTTTAGGGTTGTCCCAGGTAACGCTAAAAAAGTGGTATACCCTGGAGAAAAAGGTCCCCAAATTGATAAAAAAAAAATTTTAACATGTAAATGATTGTTAAAAGAGGGAAGACCAAGGTATTTTTTAATTATTTTTAAAAAATTTTTTTTCATTTGCAGCATATTTTAAATTTAGTTTGAAAATCTTGTAATTAGGTAATATTAGCATTAGTTTTTTTTTTTTCACTATTTTCAGTTGATTGGAAAATCTTGCAAAAATCAAGTACTTGTTGGATTTTTATGAAACTTTCAGAACTTATTCACAAATGAATGAAATTATTTTAGAAATGTTTGTCGTTTTGAAAGTCATGGTATAAATATTTTTTTTTTTTATATATATATGTTACACCCCCCCAAACTTAATTTTATGAAAACTTCAAAAATTTATTTTTGCAACCGGAATTTTTTTTTTTTTATTAAATGCACAAGACTCTGAAGATTCTAAATCATCGATTTCTTTTTGGTAAAAAAATGTGTAGAATTGTCCAAACTTTTACCTCAATTGTAAACATACAAAACCCAATAAAACTAAGACAATATTTAATTAAAAAAGCTTTTTATGACTTTTCTGAATAACATATACTAAGGTAATTCTTACCTGAAAAAAAAAAAAATTTTGAAGAAAAATGAATTTTTACAATAATTTTTTTCTTTTTTTTCTATTTTAAATACACAAATGACAAAAGTCACAAAATATTAAAATATATTTTAAAATTAAGTTTCTTTATGCAAACTTATGGAAATGACATATTTTGTTCTCTACTTTTTGAAGATCATAAATTTGAAAGCTTATTAAAATCTGACAACCAGTGATATTTTTAAAATAATTTTTTAATATTCCAAAATTGTATTTAAAATCGTCTCCAACGAAAGAATGGATGCACAGCTTTGAAATAATGTCACATGAGGTAGACTTGTTTCTCTTGATAGAAGCAAGTTCTTTTTACTTCAGAAATTTTTCTTCAAATGTAAGGTTAAAAAGATTTGAAAGTGAATTTTTTTTTTTAAAATTTATTAACCAGGTTCACTTAAAATTAGAACGAATTACATCACTTCTGCGCTACCGTACAATAAATTCCCTTGACGTAAGTTGTCAATATATTGACACCCATCAATTAACACCCTTCAATCACGCACCCGCTTGAGTACCACGGTTGGAAATATCTCTATTAAAAAATTTTCTGCTAAAAAAGTAAGTAATGTTTCTTTCAAATTACATTAAGTGTACTTTAATCATTCTAAATTTCCTAAGATAACAAAAAAAAAAAAAAGGTGTAACTGATTTTTAATTGATTTTTGAACTAAGTTTGATTTTTTTTGTTTACAAACTCAGGCAGAAATGTCCGATAAATCGAATTTACTAATTTTTTTTTATTCAAAAAATACTTTGGTCTTCTCTCTTTAATTTTAACAAACATTTACACGTTAAAATTTTTTTTATCCATTTGGGTCCCTTTTTTCTCCAGGGTATACCACTTTTTTAGCGTTACCTGGGACAGTCCTACTCTTGATTATGTGTAGAGCGTAGTTGAGCAAGAGACCAACAAAACTTGTAATGCCAAAGATGAACTGGTGGCAAGGATTATGGCAGCATTCACCAACTTAAACAAGGAGACCGTCCAGAAGAGTTGCAGGAGATTCCAAAGTTGTCTGGAGGCCGTGGTTGAAGCCAATGGTGATTTTATTAAATAAATTTACTCTTTAGTATTTCAAGTTATTTTTGTGTAATTTTGGTAAATATATCCATTAAAATGAGATATCAGTGTTATTTTCATTTTTGTGTAATTTAAAAAATAATTTATCCATCGCACCCTGTATCTATCACTGAACATTTTAAATCTAAATTTAGATTATGGATTAATTGATGGAAATTGTTCTTAAAACATTCATTACTTGAAAGAATTAAAATATCTTAAAGAGTAAGAAACAATTACTAACATAATTTTAATATAGTTTAATTTTTTTTATTTTGATCTGTGAGAAAAATCTGGTACTGAATAATTTTTTTCAAAATATTTCATAATTCTTCACAAGCATTTATAATTTGCTAACAAAATGTTAGGCTTACCAAATGTTCCGATTTGGCTGGAGGATTATCTTGATGGGAGAGAGGCTGTCATATTGTACCACTTGAGATATACACTATCAGTATGCTTTTTCTTTGTTTTTATCATTCTGAAGCTTAAGAGGTGTTAGGTCATGAAAATATTATTTTATTCTATGTAAATTAATAATATAAATTGAAAACTATGTTCATTCATTTAGAAATGATTGTAAATATTGTAATTTTGCTAACTAATCTGTTACTTTTATAAATATGCTATGGAAATTTTATTTATTTGCTATTCTGTTTTTAATTGTAGGGATTGAAATTTGGTTAGTTGCCAGTTTGGTATTTGGAATTGTGCTGTTCTTCTCAGCCAAAAAATGGAGCCAGTAAGTTTTTAATTAAGATTTGAGAATTGGAATTTTTTAAATTATTATATAATCGATTTTTCTTTTTTTTCTCTTTCTTTCTTTCTTTTTCCCATTTTTAAATATATCCTGTTGATTTCAACAATCATATGCACTTAGAAAATAACATTTTTTATTTTGTAAAATTTTAATCTTCTGAAGGTTATTTAACTTTATTGCTTTTATTCCTAACAATTTCAGCTTAATTTATCAGTCTATAAATCCAACCATTTTGTGTACATTCATGGGAATATAAATAGCTTCCATGATAAATGTAACAATATAGTTTTGCAGTTCATAAAAAGCTTCTAGAAGAAAATATTTGTATTGATGCATTCAAAAGTTTATATTTTCAAACAGCCATCACTTTATACTTTTATCAATATTTTGAAATTACCAGAACATCTTTGAATACTTATCAGAGTAGACTAATCCCTAAGTGACTTTATAAAACAATATGAATGTTCTACATATGATTTTCTTTTTTTATAATTTCAGAAATTCTTCCCTCCACTATTTAACAGGAACAGTACTGGGAATCGGCTTCTCTGTTCTAATCATTCTTGTACTTATCAGCCGTTTCATACCTAAGGTAAGGGTTTAATACTTCAGACGTATTCAAAGTTGTCTTATTGAATAAAACCTTTGAATATTGGAGATTGGCTTCCTATAATACAAGAAGTACATACTTTAATCAACAAATGGCTGTCAAAGATATATAAATACATCAATCGTTTCTGAAGAATTCCAGTCCTTTTTCAGTGACATGCATTTCTATATTTGTCCATGAATTTGAAAACACAAATTGTGAATTGATGCCTTTCCAAAAAACATAAAATGACAACAATTACAATTTCTAAAATACAGGTAATTCACCCTTTCATCAACAAACTAGTAATGGAAAACTCAAAATATGTTTCCTGATTTTTTTTTTTTTTTTTTTTTTTTTTTTAACATTTTCTCACTCTTTGTATAAAATCAGTTTTCTAAAACCTGGTAATTTAATTGCCAATTAATTTAATTTAATTGCCATAAATAAATGCATAGTTACAGATCAATCTTTATCACCAACAACCATCTCCAAGATAATCTTTTCCTCAAATGTGAAGATGTTAGCCTCAGGAAGGGCATCAAACAATAAAAATGGTCTCTCACCAAAGCAGCAACTATAATAATAATAATCATGAGCTTATTAATCAATCATCTTTCCTGTTTGAGTTATCACATATCACAGTTTTTCATAGTATTTTTCTTCTCAGACTACATATTTACCACACACTTTCACATTATTCTTGCCATTTTTTTGCTTTTAACATGTTTTGTCTGATATGTCCTTTGGCATTTAGAAATTGCTTAGTATTTTTGTAGAAATGAAACTGACAAGTGGGAGAAGAAACCCTGGTGTGACTGGAACAATCATTTTCTCTCTTGGAGTTGCATTGTACCAGTAAAGAACCTCTTATATGGGGCAATGTTTTCTGGCAGCAACCCATTTGATAGAATACCTCTCTCTTCATAGATTTCTTGATTACAGCACCAACAACTAGGGGGTGGTCATTTGCATCTAGTACTCCTTAAAATTCATGAACAAGTAGAGAAATGCATGTCACTGAAAATAAAAAGGACTGGAATTTTTGACAACGGATTGATGGCTTGTGAGTTTCAGCCCTGCTTCCTATGAATGGATTTCAGTATCAATTTTGTCTGTCTCTGAATGGGAACTTCATGCACTCACACCTATTTCACTATCCCATTCCCTTCCAGAGCATAGGAACACTGAATCCACAGACAAATTCCCAAAACCTGTGCGAATGCCTGAAATGTTTCACTACCGAACACAGTGTCATCTATCAGTATCCCAGCCAGGAGATCTCCCTCAAAAAATAAGATCCAGCTGTTGATCCTGGGCTGAAACAAGGACAAAGATGTGGCAAATAATATACCATCCACCACAATTACTTAAAGGCTGACGGTCCTAAGGACCTTGTCCTTTCGGATCGGAACATCACCTACTAAGAAAATGGCCATTACTTATGGGCTGTGACCCAAACCAATTCTCGCTGTGGTGAATGTTGGCTTGGCAGGACTTTGCAAGTGTTATACAAACTATTTCAGCATTACCATTATTTCAGCATTACCATTATGGATACTAAATTCAATGTAAAATTGATTCTAAAATTTGATGGCTCAAAATCCAGACCAATTATGATGTAATGAGTGGAAAGGATAAAACTGGTCTGTAGGGTGTGTTGTAAAGCACATTGAGAAGATTACTCCTCTGAGGCTGGTGGGAAAAGGGTTTTCTGTATACTTGTAGCTGACAGACAAAGAGTATACTGACACAGTATACATAAAAAAAATTCTTTTGCAATGGACTCATTTGCTGCATTCACTCAGCTCTGCTGTCAGTTTGAAGGACAGAAGCTTAGCAGCTGATATTGTCTGTAGATTTGTTTTCTTCTGTTCATCACTTACAAGTTTTTAACTTTTCATTTCTATTCCTTCTTTAAAGATGAAAAATGATACTGAAGAAAGAAAATCTATTATAAAACCATTAATGCAATATGAGAAAGGCTAAATAACATAAACCAAAATGCTAAAAACAACAATGAAGGTAATAATGTAAAGAAATATATAAAAAAGATCTGGATTTAAGACTAAAGTTATAGCCTCTTTTACATGCTTTGTTGACAATGACCTAAGTAGTATTTTAATTTACTCTATATTTCTGTATTGTAACTATTTACACTATTTACCCCATCTTTATTGTCATATTTACAATATTTTGGCCATTGTATACTCCGGCCTTCAAGTGATATAACTTGAATAAACTACCCCAGTGGATGAAATAAAGGGTTCGGTTTGTAATTCCAGCACATATCCTTTGAAGAAGACCAGAGCATTTGATGGCTGAAAGGTTGTGAATATGACAATAAAAATGAGGACAATAGTCCAAACAATTTAAATAGTATAAATATTTTCATTTTTGTTTGTTCATTTTAATTATATTTATAAAAAGTCTATTATTTGTAAATTTTTTTTTTTTTTTTTCAGTTTGCTTGTCTGTTTTTGTCCTCTTTGGTTGAAAATAGTTCTTTATACAATTTTTTAAATGAGATAAAGTATAAAATTAACTTATATTTTTTCCTTTCCATTTCAGAAACCATTTACAGCCTTATTCTTATTCTCTGGAATATCTGGAGTATTATTTTCCTTTCATTGGTTATACAGTAATTTGTATTCCATTTCCACAGAATACTGGATGGGAATACTGATTTATCTGTTATCCAGTGGTAGTATCTCTTTCTTATTATCATATCGCTTTGGCCCAGTCACAGATCCAAGATCTATGAACATCATCAGCTGGATGTTACAAATATTAGGTCTTGTATTCATAGGAATTGGTACACAAATTCCAGAGGTTTCTACAGCAGTGATCATTATTGTGTTGTCCATATATAACAGGCCAAAATGGATTGGTAGATTGATGACCTTCTTAAGGTAAGTATTTTCTTTTTTTCTTTCGATATAGCACAAAAAAATGAGAGAAATCCATTTTTTTAATGAAGTACTAACCTTTATTGTGAGAAACTGACAATGGCATTAGATTACTAACTTGTTATGGATATCCTCAGCATTGACTCATTTTCTGTCTATATTTCTGAGATGAGGTATTATATTTACATTATTCGGACTATTGTCCTCTTCTTTGTCTTCATATTTATTAAAACATTTCGGTCGTTGTACACTTTGGCCTTCTTTGGGTGGTTGGAATGTCGAACTGAACCCTTTATTTCATTCACGGTAGACTGTTCTAGTTATCAGTTATCTCCTGTTAATTTCACTCTGAAAGTTCTCCACTACCTTAACTCACATTTTTGGGTCCTGTCACTGGATCTAACCAATGCCTTTATCCACTGTACCATGTGTCCTTGAGGACATCTGTGTATGAATTTCTGGCTATTATAAACTTAATGTCTCAGCAACCATTTTTACCAGTGCTCATATTGCAATTTTTGATGATATCATTTATGTTTTTACCAGAGCTCATATTGCAACTTTTGTTGTTATCGCTTTTCTCTGGCACTCCTTATTACCATATTGTATTCATTTCGATGCTTGGTTGGCTCAGGAGATTTTTGTGGCCTAGCATATGTACTGATTCCTTAAGTTTATGAATTTTCCAATGGTGTTCTTTGTCTATGATCTCAACCTGATCCCTTCTCTCTCCATATGTGGTCAGCCACACCTGATTTTTCCACTTCCCCTCGTGTTAGAGCTTTCTGGTGTTCTTGAAGCCTTACCTTAAGGTTAAACATGGCACGTGAAATTAGAACAATCTACCCTAGTGAGCGAAATAAAGGGTTCAGATTTGATATTCCAACCACCTGAAGAAGGCTGAAGTGTACAACAGCCAAAACGTTGTAATAAATATGGCAACAAAGATGAGGACAATAGTCCAAATAATGTAAATAATTGACTCATTTATTGAACAATATATTTTTTTTAAATCGGTTAACCCCAAGCAAACCGATAATTCTACCAAAATGCAAGAGGCTACTAGGAATGAAAGCAAGTGAAAAGACTTTAGGAAAAAAAGCAGAAACCCAATCCCAACTGAGGAACAAGGGATAAAACTCTACTCGTGTTTAAAAGACCAGTGAGTGAGTGATTGATTGATGGGATAGGTTGGAGTGGAGATATTATTATGGTTGCATAAGTTCATTTTTCAAATGAGATGGTAGTATAATAGGTATCTCCACTTTTTTGCTGAAAAAAACAGCATAGCCTGATGAAAAAAGGCCCCAAACTTAATAAAAACAAAATTTTATCGTCAAAATCCTTGTTATTATTAAGAGGATAGACCAAAATATTGTTTTATTTTAGCATCTTTTTTCATATGAAAAACACATTGACTTGCAAATTCTTGCAAAAATCAAATAATTGTCAGATTTTAATGTAACTTTCAGGATTTATTCACAAATGAATGGAATTTTTGGTAAAAAATATTTCTTTTTATATAAATTTATATATGTTACCCCACACTTAATTTCATGAAATTTTGAGAAATTTCAATCTCAAAATTTGTTTTATTAGTTAAAAACAAGTCTCCTTGGAGAATTTAAATCATCAGTTTTTTTTTTTTTTTTTTTTTTTTAAATGATACCCAGTTAACAAAAATCTGCTCTGAGTCATCAAATAAAAAATGCAATAAGACTATGACATTATTTAATTAGAAAAGCTTTTAGTTGCTTTTATAAATAAGATTTATTAAGGACACTATTGTCTTAAGAAAAAAATTTGTTCAATCAATAATGAATTTATGCAAGAATGGTTTTCATTTTTTAAATTTTAATTATAATAATTTATCTATATTATAATAATTTATTTACAAATCATTTAAAGTTCTGCATTATTTCAATCCAGTTCGGTGATACTATTATTAAGTGAAAACTATATTTATGAATCAAAAATTGAAAAGCTCAATAAAAGTCGTTTACACCCAGTATTTTATTTATTTATTTATTTATTTTTTTTTTTTTTTTTTTAGGGTATAAACATTCCCATTTTGTAAGTATGGTAGTCCATACATGACGTTATCCTTAAAAGGTCATGTGTCTTAAGAGTTGTCCACCCCTTACAAAAAGATTTGGCGGTCTGCAATTCTTTCATTTCTGTATTTCATTGTGTTTACATCTTTTGTAAATCATCCCTTCAAAATTTTTTTAAGTTTTCCTTTTTTTCATTACTATTTCACTAAATATTTTTTTTTATATATTGTTTAGGATATTGGATTAAAATAATAAGTTTACAATTACAATTATGTAATTAATAATAAAATTTAAAGTACTATAAAAATTTAATAAATAACTTTAACATTTCATAACCATCATGATAACAATTAATAATAAAGAATAAAATGAAAAATAAGATATTAAAAAATATAAATTAATAATAAATAAAATATCATAATATTTAATAAATTATTGAGTTAGCTCTATCATGATATTTCATTAATATCTTGGTTATTAAATTTTTAAATTAAAGAAAATTTTATAGTATTTTAAATTTTATTTTTTCAGAAAGCATCTTCAAACATAAGGCTATAAAGCTAAAGTAACTAAAATTCAATAAAATATTAGATAATTGCTGAAAATGTTAATTTTTAAAAAATTACTTGGTAGTTAAAAACTGAAAGAAAGTGTTCACTTAGATTTTGTAATTTATGTAAATTCTAGTCAATCATATTTAGCTGTCAACACCTTAGGCTGCCAATAAAACAAATCAGTATATCAGAAAAGCAAGACCACATGGTTAAGAAATACTTGTATACTACGGTTTTTATGCTATAAGTAAATAATATTTGTTTCAAATCGGATTAATTTAACTTTAAATTTGCTAATTTTCCTCAAATAGCATGTCACAAATATATATTTTATTTTTGGAAAATTTTTTAAACTGAGAATTAAATTTTGTTTACAAATGTGTCAAAATGTGTGATGAGTGCCAAATTTAAATGATTTTTTTGAAAGTGAACAAAAAGTTGAGATTCCAGTCAATATAAATTCTGTTTGAAATACATGGGGTGTTTTACTTACTGGAAATAGTAAATTTATTCATTTAGCTTTCGATTAAAGAAAGCTTTTTCATTCATAAAAATTCATTTTAAAACCAAGGTATTGAAACTGAGTGAAGATACCTATAATATAGTGCATGCAATCCATTTTTTGGGTGAGGTTAAAAATTCCTCGGAGGGGAAATGCAACATGTTTTGTCACCAGGACATCATGTGAGTAAAAAGAGAGTGAGAGAATGTTTGTACCCTTTCCTTTTATACTACTTTATACAACACCACCTACTTGATGTTATAAGTCGTCCCCTGTCAGACAACATAGAGTAAATCCCACACTGAAAAAGACCAGTTAAATTTAGACTGGAGTAATATGGTGATTAAATGTAACAAAGGTAATGATTGTGTTTAAAATAAGATAAATAAATAAGGATCTGTTAAAAGTATTACTTGGAAGAAAATGATAATGGTTTTATTGAAAGCTTGTTTGAAATGATCTGTTACTTGGAACAGAAGAATACCTCAATGCAAACTGTTGTGTTAGTTGAGAAAATTTGAAAAATGATATTACTGCAGTTGTGCAGCTCGAGTTGGTTTTAAATAAATAAGTTTCTTTTATGTAAATAGTTTATAAAAGGTTAGATCTATTTAATCCATCTAACACACTAAAAGGAAATTGTTTATAATATAAGCTGAAGAAAATAAAATTCGCCTTTTGTTTTTCCTTCATTTTCTTTGTGACCTTAGGTTGTAGATTTTTACAAGAGCATAATTCATATCAATGAATTGATAAAGGTGGTGTGAAAAGGTCTGCCTGTCTGCTACTGGTTAATCCTCTTAGCTATTTAATAAGAAAATTGAAGTGTCTGGTTAAAATAGAAGACATAGTTGTATGTAAGTTGTTATCATGGTAAATAATAAAGATATCTTGTCTAAAAAATCCTAACTTTCTGGCACAGGCATAGCTTGTTTTAATGAGTTTTACTTTAATGTACTTTACAGATAGTGTATCTTGGTGTGCATGTTTTTTTTTCTATGCAAACATGCATTTAAGGTTTGTAACAAGTCATTCAGCATCATTTTGCCAACCACATTTGCTCATTTTGTCTTCTCAAAATTGGTTGTAATAAAGTATTTTTTAATTAAGATATTTATTTATTTTTATTTTTTTTAACTTTTTTTTTTTTTTTTTTTTTTTTTTGGCAATCTAATTTGTCTTCCCATCAATGCAGTTGACCAGAAGTCCTTTCTAATCCCATTGTATACATAGCATCACTAACTTTAGAAGATTAGCTGTTGGTAGAGTAATGATGGTTCATTTCCCTTGTCCTATGGTAATTTAGGTTCCATATTGTTTTAAAGTATCCACTTTTCATAATTTGTTTTAAAAAGTGAGCATTTTCATTACATTTAAGTCATGACTTATGTAAATATGATTTTTTCCTGCTTAACTTGTTTGGTTATGTTAATTGTTTTTATGTATCAACACAACAAGTGTGAATGATTTTTAATGCTTGATTTTAATAATTTTAATATGTTGGCTCTTTTGTATTATATAACATTGGTTATTGTGACTTGATTTGATCACTATCAATATCAACTTGACTTCAGAATATGGCTCAGTGAGTCATCTCAAGCACAAAACTTTACAACTCAGTTTTGACACATTTGTTCATTCACAATCTCTTCTCTACAAACTACATAAATTGTTTTAGTTCTTAATTTAGTTGCATTTTTACCTTAAAACATGCATTCTGATTTGTCAACCATCATAATACAATTATCGTTTTGTGTGAAGATAATTAAAATTAAATGTTCCTAATGCTATTTGTTAGGATATCTTCTAGTTTGTGATGTAGAAGTTCTACCTCCATACTGAGTAATGACTTTTTAGTAGTCACTTGACTCTGCAAAAAATAGGACAAATCCA